GAGTAACATGACCGACCCTAGACGGTTCTGCAGCTTCTGCAACATGCTCATGGGTGGGCGACTCAGCTCCCACTTCCTCTTGTTCATCATCTCCCTCCTCAGGTGCATCCGAGTCATCACTATTAGCACCTCCAAGTGCCACAGGGTCCTTCCCAATAGTCACCTTATCCGCTCAAAACTTTGCCTCTTTCTGTACTTTTCCATCCACGCTCAAGTTCTCCAGCACCCATGCTGCCCGTCATAGCCTAATGACTAGGGAAGGGAAGAAGAAACCATACCACTTCACCGAACAACGAGTAAGCATCTCCTCGTGAATAATCTTGGCCATGTCAAAATTGTGTCCATTCATGAAACACCAAATCAATGCATCTCGATGACCATTCACTTCAGTGATGTTGGAGGACGGGAGTAGATGGTTATTGAGGACATACAACCAACACTTCCCTTTAAAGGTTAGTGCCGCCGAATTGAACTATGCCCATGTATAATCCACACAACTTCCTTTCTAGGCACACATATCGTTTTAAAGAACAAATCCCACGTGGTGTATCGTCTACCATGGGCTTCATAGTAGTCCTCCGCCTCCGCCACAGATGCGGGAAGCCAGTATGCTCTCTGAATGGCCTCAACAGAGGCTTCCACATTCTTCTTGAGCAATGTGCACACACCGTTCACATGTTCTTTAATGTTGGCATAAAATTCGTGCACAACCATCAAATTTGCTTCATCCTGTTCTTTAAAGAAAATATCCAGCCCGCACCGGACCAACTCATTGTACAAGTCGGGACAACTATATTGGAGAGACCCTATATCAATACCCCTCTCCGGTATGGGCTTCTTGGATGCTTTGTACCAAAACGGTCCTGAGTTGCGCTGGAGACGGACCTGTAACTATCATACGGACGAGCAGGAGTTGAAGCACGTGCTCTGGAGGATCCAGCTTGGCCACTGGAGGAAGCACCAATGGTCCGACATTTCTTGGAGGGCGCTATAATACCTGAAATAAAGAACATCAACAGCGAAATACAAGAGATGTGAACCAGAGGTAGTTACTCAGACTTCATCCATACAATTGGTCACAATTTACATTAACAACTCATTGTGGCATTTTAACAAATACTTTGTATACACTATTCACCGGAGTCCCCAATTAAGAAAGTGATAAGCCAAACTCAACCACAATTTCTCCATTTTCAACCACACATGTCAAGAGATACATCTACGACAACCTCAACAAACCCACTAACATACAAGAGCACACTACAAAAGAAATCTACTAAAGAAAAAAAGAAAACTACTACATAACCAAGAACTCAAATATCCCAACAATAATTGAAACAAGTGACCTTACCTGGTACAGTTGTAGTTAGGGTAGAAGAGGGTGGAGTGGGTGTGATTTGATCGTTAATGTGGGAGTATGAGGGTTGGGGTTCTTTGGGAAAAAGGGAAAGATTGTGTTTTTTTTATTTGTAAGGGGAGGTTTAGGTGTTAGGCATGAATAAGATTAAGAGAGAGAGATAGTGGATTGGGGTAAGTTAGAATATTAGAATCAAAAGAACAAAACAAATAAATAAAGAAAAATAACTTTAACTAAAGCGGCAGGCGGAGCTACGTGCACAGTTTGAGCACGGCCGCGCACCTGGGCGCCAAAATTTCTCAGGAAATCCTTCAGGTTTGGTGGACTTATACTCACCCAAGCTCACCTGCACTTGTTAGTACTTATAAAAATAAAAATAACAAATTCTACCTACACTAAAAATCACTACGCATTGGGTTGCCTCCTAACAAGCGTCTTAGTTAATGTTGTGGCACGACGAATACAACAAATCAATGGGTTGCCTCCCATGAAGCGCCTGATTTAATGTCGCGGCACGACGCATATAAGCGTATTTAAAGTACGCTCAACTTTGGAGGATCGATTAAATGGGTCACTGACACTTCCTTTTCTTCCTCCATGGCCACATAATGTTTCAACCTATGCCCATTGACTTTAAATGTGCGAGAGTCATTACTCGCAACAATATCTACAACGCCTATGGGGTGAATTTCAACCACACAAAAAGGCCCTGACCATAGTGATTTCAATTTTTTGGGGAATAACCTCAGGCGGGAATTGTATAGCAATATCGTATCTCCGGGTTTAAAATTCTGCTCAATAATATTCTTATCATGTATCATCTTCATTCTCTCCTTGTATAATCTTGCTCTCTCAAAAGCGTGATATCTAAACTCATCAAGCTCGTGTAATTCCGTTACTCTACTTGTTCTTGCCTCTTCACTATCAAGATTCAACTACCTCAATGCCCACCAAGCTCTATGCTCCAACTCTACGGGTAAATGACACGACTTCCCAAACACCAACTTGTATGGCGACATGCCAATTGGAGTTTTGAAAGTGGTTCGATACACCCAAAGTGCATTATCTAACTTCCTTGCCCAATCTGTTCTAGTTGCATTCACAGTTTTAGTCAGCACACTCTTTCTGTTCGAGACTTCCACTTGCCCACTTGTTTGTGGATGATATGGGGTGTCCACCTTGTGGCTTACATCATACTTCTCCAACAACTTTTTAAAGGCTCGATTGCAAAAGTGAGTGCCTCCGTCACTGATTATTGCCCTTGGGGTGCCAAATCGGGTGAAAATGTTCTTTCTCAGAAAACCAATCACCCCCTTTGCATCATTTATAGGGAGTGCTGCAGCTTCTACCCATTTGGACACGTAGTACACAACGACGAGTATGTACTTGTTGCCATATAAGCTAATGAACGGCCCCATGAAATCGATCCCCCATACATCAAACACTTCTACCTCCTGAATTGGGTTCATGGGCATCTTATGTTTGCGGGAAATGTTCCCGGTTTGTTAGCATTCATCACAGCCCTTTATCCATAGATGTGCATCTTTGAATAGTTTTGGCCAGTAGAACCTCGACTCCAACACTTTTGCAGCTGTCCTTACTCCACGAAGTGCCCACTATATGGGGATACGTGACATGCTTGCAAAATAGAAGACTAGTCTATCTCAGGGATACATCTCCGGATCATGTTATCAACACAAATCCTGAACAGATAAGGCTCATCTCAATAATACATGTGACAATCACGGAAGAACTTTTTCTTTTGAATAGAGGAAATGTCATAAGGAACAATATCGCTCGCCAGGTAGTTTGCAATGTCTGCATACCATGGTGCTTCCTCGAGACTCGTGGCTAGTAGTTGTTCATCTGGAAAAATTTCCAGAATCTCTTCTACCTCAACCTTCTTTTCAACTCCTTCTAGCCTGGATAAAGGTCAGCTACTTGGTTTTCCGTTCCCTTTCGGTCACGGATATCCACATCAAATTCTTACAGCAGTAGGACCCATCGAATCAGGCGTGGTTTTGACTCCTTCTTTTTAATTAAGTACCTGAGAGCAGCATGGTCAGTATAAGCAATTACCTTTGAGCCTATCAGGTAATACCTGTACTTGTCAAATGCGAACACCACTGCCAGCATCTCCTTCTCGGTCACAGTAAAATTTAGCAGGGATCCACTCAACGTTCTACTTGCGTAGTATATTTGATGCATGATTTTATCTTTTTGCTGCCCAAGAACTGCTCCCACAGCATAGTCACTAGCATCACACATCAGCTCAAACGATTGCTCCTAGTTGGGGGCAACTATGATAGGTGTTGTTACCAGTCTCTTCTTTAATTCCTCAAAAGCTACCCTGCAGTTATCAGAAAACACAAAAGGGTGATCGTTTTCAAGCAATTTACACAAAGGTTTAGCAAATTTGGAAAAATCTTTTATAAATCTCCTATAGAACCCGGCGTGCCCGAGAAAACTTCTGATTGCTTTGACGGAGTTGGGTGGTGGAAGCTTTTCTATCACATCAACCTTTGCACGATCCACCTTAATACCTTTACTTGACACTAGGTGACCCAAGACTATATCTTCCTGTACCATGAAATGGTACTTTTCCTAGTTGAGTACCAGATTAGTCTCGTTACACCTTTTCAACACTCACCTCAAGTTCACAAGGCAATCATCGAATGAATTCCCCACCACTAAGAAGTCATCCATGAAAACCTCCATTATCTCCTCTACCATATCTATGAAGATGGCCATCATGCACCTTTGGAATGTGGTGGGTGCATTGCATAGGCCAAACGTTATTCGCCAAAAAGCATACATTCCATAAGGACAGGTGAACGACATTTTCTCTCTATCCTCTAGGGCAATGGAAATTTGATTATACCCCGAGTACCCATCCAGAAAGCAAAAGTGGGACCTCCCTGCCAATCTATCTAGCATCTAATCGATGAATGGCAGTGGGAAATGGTCCTTCCTGGTAGCCAAGTTCAACTTCCTATAATCCATACAGATTCGCCAACCTGTGACTGCTCGTGTAGAGAACAACTCGTTCTTCTCATTTCACTACCGGCATACCTCCCTTTTTTGGTACACGCTACACTAGGCTAACCTAGTTGCTATCAGAGATGGGGAATATGATTCCCGCACTACAACATTTTAGGCCTACAACCACCCCTGAGAAGTGTGGCCTAAGATGCTAAGAAGTGTAGCGTTTGGGCAAAGGCAGCACTTTACGACTTTAGGCAATGCTTTTTTGGGGGTGGCCTAAAGTACCGTAACCTTTGACTATTGGCCACACTTTGTAGGTGTTGCCTTAGAAGTCACGCTTTAAAAGTGTGGCCGATACGGTACAAAGGCCACACTTATATTGTCTCATATAGCCACGCTTTTATGACATAAGGCTACACTTATGAAGCGTGATCTTTGTCACGTTAAAGGCTACACTTACAAAGTGTGGCTTCTAGAGCAATATTTATCAGTAGCAATGCCAGATTGACAATCCTTATGGACACACTTTTTAAGCGTGGCGATTTTGTCTACTCTACAAAATTATTTTTCAAATACTTATATTAGCCATNAGAATAAAAATAATTCAAATGCATATACTTAAAATAAATTTCAACAAAGAAACATACTTTGTGTGCTGTCTATATTAATAAAGTACTGTTGGTTCAAGAGTTCACTAGCAAAGACCTCTACAAAACCAAATGTATTCATATTTATAGAATCAATAAAAATAAACATCCTAATTGTTCAAAAGGTCTTCACCATTCACTTTAATAAATCAAATTGATTTGTGACCACCATATCCAATTGCATATCCCGTATTTTCCTACACAATCAAAATAAAATTAAAAATTAGGAAGAAACATATATGTAGTATACACTGGTTAGAAAGCATGATTTTGTAAGTTAAGATTGAGGTAGTTTATGGAATTGGGAAATATAAGTGCCTTTTCAAGAATTGGGGCGTGAGTTGAGCCAGAAGAATGTGGTAGATTTTGGCCTCTCATAGCTCGTGTACTACTTGCATCAACTGGTGAAGGAATATTAGATCCAACACACCCTTGTATATCATGAAAATCCAGTCCAGGGTTGTTTTTCACAAATTAACTAAAAAAACATCGCATTTCTTCTCTCATCATTTCCTTCATTTCTTCCTTGAGAGAAGTTATTTCATTGGCATGCTTTTGTTTAAGCTTGTTGATTTCTTCATCTTTTTTCAAAGAGCTTGTCGTCACCGATCTACTATAGCATCTAACCCGACCAGGCTGCTCCTTTCCAAATACAGCCCTAAATATTCTTCATCTGCTGTTTCTCCGGAACTTTGATGATTTTGAAGTTCAGACTGTCAAAAAAAAATTTTTTGCACATCACTTACAAGTCAAGATAGAGCGAACACTAAAATAACTTTCAACAAGTCAAGTTAGATAAAAAAAAGTTTAGCAGACCTCAAAATTTAGCCAAGAATGTCAATAGAGTTTTCAGCGACAAGGATCGTAACCAATTTAATATGAAGTTTCAAACAAACATAATTGATTTGTGCATGTTAATCCTAAGTCTTTCGGGATTACACATAATGTTGCAGGCCAAGCTGATGATGGTACAAAGGGAGTTGTTCCTATTGTTGCATCAGGTTGTGAAAATGATATAGCAGGGAGAAGAGGAGTCTTGAGGTGCAGCTAGTTGAGAAAACTAAGGGTGAAAAATCAGTTAATATTCCTAGTGCTACAAAAGGTGCTACAGTTGTGTCAAGTTTTGGAGTTGCAGCTGCTACTGATGTGCACAAATCTGTTGTGCATGAGAATTTAGAATCAGGTTCTCAAGCTGTGAATCAATTAAATGATCAAGATTGGACAGAGGTAACTCGATCTCATCCATCACATAACAAAAAGAAAAATCCAGACCATGAAAATCAGATTATCACAGAAATCTTTACAGGTGCACTATGTGAGGATTCAAGGAAAATCAACTGCTCAACACCTTTGATGCTTTAAATATAGAGCATGATCATGTTGTGGGGAGTTTTCAGCTTAAGGACATAAGTGCAAGCTCAAGAAATAAGCAAGGGAACTAACAATCATTTCTCTTCCTTCTAAAAAAGTGTAACAGTTGCAACACTAAATAATAGTAACTGCGGTACTTTGAAAGGACACCTCCCTATGTTATAGGAAACTTGCAACAATGAACAAATGCAAGAGAAAAAAAGACTTGGAACAAATGCAATACAAAAACAAAAGAAGAAGAGAAAGAAAGGTGAGAAATTAAAAGGATCATGTTATTGATGCCTAAGTCAAAATGTCATTTCCTCTAACATTTTATTCTTTCTGTGTCTTTTCCAGCCACATGATATTTAAGCAAGGTTTAACCCTTTATTCCCAATAGAGGATATCTTAGTAGAAGTTGTTGTCATATTTAATCACTGTAAGATATGAATTATATATTATGCACTTCTGCTTATAAGAATTTTGTGATAATTCCAGTTATTTGCTTTTAGTCATGCTTAAAAAGGAAATTTTGTCTATGTTGTCACAAAGTTTTTCACTCCAACCTCATGTCATACTCATTGTAGGCTTTAAAGAATTCTCCTTTCATTTCATTAAAGTAATTGCAGACAATGCTCAGTACCCTCTCACTTTTAATTCCTTGTGTAAGAGGAAAAAGGTATATATGCATGGAAATTTTGTTTGTTGGAAGATGTGTTCAACAAGAGGATGGTTAGCCCACTGTTGTTCTATTATGTAATAACAACATCATTTTGGATTTGAAACGGTGATGAAGCAAGAGTAAAAAAGACTCCTTCAATTTGTGTGGATCATGTGTTATGCCTTCTTCTATTTGACGCAAAAGTTTGTAAATCAAATGGCCAAGCAAAAATAGAAGACACCTAATGTTGAACTCTTACAGATCGTAGGAGACACACAATGACTCTACTTCTTCTTATACGACTACAAAAACTTAGTTTTCTGTGAGATTGTGGTATTACTTCTAGAGTTTTAGTATTAAACTTGGCAAATTCTCTAGTACAATAATAAGACTAAAATTGCAATATGACTTACTATTGCAACTTGAGTATTTGTATGAACTTCCTTCTCTTTCTTTGTACGAGTTGTAATAAACATTTCAGACTTTGATGGTTCCTCATTGTTCTCTTTGGTTGCGCGCTACAAATTACATCAAAGAAGATATAAAAAAGATATCACTTTGTTCTGACAAAGTACAAAAAGAAATAAAAGTAAGATTACAATGTGTCGACTAAATATTAACAATGCCACACGCACTCTTGCAAAATTAATTGGTCACATTCGATGCTTCCACTTTTGTTTTTTCCTGTTTTCAGAATTCAATTGGCACATAGCCTAACAACAAAGGAAGCATATTAATTAATAAATCAAAAAGGAAAAAATATATACTGCAACAATAGGTAGAAAATGTAGAAATGCACGGTGTAATCTGAAATGCACGGTTTAATCTTACTTTGACATCTTCGTCATCCCAATACTGAATCAATTGATGGAAATGAACTTCAGGTATCTCATTGGGACGATTTTGTAGCATTTGTTCAATAGTAGCATTTTTATCAAAATATTTCTTCTTAATATTCCTCTTGTGTCGCTTCCAAGCATCACGAAGACCAGTCATTACCCACTTCTCTCCTTCAGCTGGAATTAAGAACTTGGACTGCAAAACAACACACAAACATATATATATAT